ATCCATTTGCCCCATCACTGCATGGTGTTTCTTTTTTTTTGCCTTTTGTTGCACTGCTGGGCTCTCCCTTTGTTCTCTTGACCACTTATTACTGCTTCTTCCCATTTGCACACTCCAGGGTGCTCTCTTCAGTTTTCAGCAAGCTGTTCTCAGGAGCTGGCACACAACTCTGCCGCCCTGTCAGGCCCCGTTTTCCTATAGACATAATGGTCATGGCCCCTGTGATCCTGATGGGCTGCAGCTGTGAACCAAGGTGCTGGTGGGCCAGGCTGCAACTGGGGGCTGATGGGTGTGCACTGTGTTGCTCCTGGGGTACAGCTGCCTGCGGGGCTGTCATTGAACGTCACCAGTTAGCAGCAGAACTATAGCTGCAACTGCAGAGTAGGTGACCGTGGGTGCTTGTTCCGTGCTTGGGCTGCGGGACCTGTGATAGAAACAGTGGGGGACCCAGCAGGCAAGGGGCAAAGTGAGAACTGGCCTGGGGCAGTGTGGGAGGCTCTAGTACTAGGGCTGCAGCTACCAGGGAGGTTACATGGTGGCAGTGAGGGGCCACAGTCATGGTGAGGCCACCGAAGCTGTGTGAAGGTGGAGGAGAGCTGGGGGCGTGCTAGAGGTGGCAAGCGGGGAGATTACTGAGGAGTCAGAGTAGTCCTGGCTGAGTTAGACACTGGGCTAGGTGGGGGCTGTGTCGAAGCAGAGGGGCCAGGCAGAAGAGAGAGGGAGGAAGGGGGTTGGAGCAGTTCAGGGCTGTTTCGGAAGCACGGTACAGCGCCAGAGTGTGGTGGCGGTGAACCTCATCTGCTGTTGGACCACAGGCTGGCAGCGGCAACATGGGGGAGCGTGGAGCAGCACTTCGTGTTCCATAGCGGCATCCGGGTCTGGGCGGGAGAAATGACCTCTACACAGGGTTGCACTTCACACAGTAGTATGTACCATGACATGCAGGGAGTTGTAGTCCTCAGGCACCGGGATTCCAGCCTGCCGTATTGTCCTGTCCTGGGCAGAGCCTCCGGTCAGCCATGTTGTTCTGTGCAGCATGCCAGGAGATTGCCCCAGAGCTTTCTGCTGCCTGTCTAGTCCTCTTATGACACCTCCTGCATTTCATATTCTGTCTCAGAGATTTCTGTTTTGCTCACATACTTCCTTTGGACCACACTAGTGCCCTTGGGACCCTTCCTCAGCCCACCTTTGTGCCCCAGAGCACTTTTATTGCCCTCTATAACATCTTGGATGTCTCTATTGAGTCCCTTCTTCCCGATGATATCTGTACTCATCTCACATCCCTTCCAGAGATTCTCTTCGTGTCTCTGAGCCTTCCTGTACCACTGTAGCTCCAGTTAGTACTCCAGAATACTCTGTTCTTCATCTGTGCCACCTAGGGTGTCCAGATTAAGTCCCTGATCCTCTGAAAACATCTGTGCTCTGCTCTAATGCCCTCCAAAATTCCTAGTTTTTCCCCTGAGCCTTTGTTTGCCATTGTAGTACCCTTTAGATCCTTTGAGTTCCCTTGCAACTCATTATCAGGCTTTCCTTGTGCCCCAGAACATTCTGTTAGCCTTCTACCCAACCCGAGATCCCTGTTTTGGCCTCCAGAATCACCTGTGTTGCACAGAGAGAAGCTGTCCGGAGGACTCTTTGTGTCCCAGAGCATTCTGTTGCCTGTCCGGTCCTTTGAGGAACTCTTCTAGTTCTTTTCAGTGACTAGGTTAGAGAGACATTTTAGGAGTCCTGGTGAGCTGAAATTGTAGGTTCTGTACAGGAAAATCCCCTCAGGCAGTGGAGGTCTCATAAGCGAAGGCCTCTTCCAAGTCATATTTCTGATGTCTTATTCGGCACTACACAGAATGCACTCCTGGTATAGCTTTTGTAGCGTATGTGTCCCAACAGAAACAAAGGGCAGCAGTATAGCATTTTCTTTGTTAGAAAGAAAACTACAGCCTCATGCTTCCATTGATAGTATTGTTACTAATTTAGATCAACTGTTCTTTAGTGTAGCCTCCGATAACTGCAAACGCTTAACAGCTTAAAAGAAAGGTTTATGTTTGTCAGAGTAAAAGCCAATTTAAGTTGCCTACCATTGTTGCTGTATTATATGCAGTCACAGTAAAATTACAGATACAGTCTTTCATAGTATCAGTCTATTTCTTTTTCCTATGCCTAGCATGCTGTGAATTTAAGGCAGAGTAAAAGCCTTAGTTCTGCCTAGCTGGTTGTCTGTAGGCATTTTGCTGTTTTTTCCCTCCTCTTTTTTAAGGGTTTGTAGGTGGGGTGGTATGGTAGATGGAGCTTAGTGGCATACCAAAGTCAGGTATCGCCCCATGGGTTTTATTCAGTTTATGGCCTTTAAAGGAGTTAGTGGTCTGGGTTTGGGTTTCTTGTTTTGTTTTTGTTTTTGTCAATAGCAGTCTTTGAAGCCAGCCAAGGTATTTGGGAAGATATGTTTTTAAGCTCAGGGAAGTAGAGGATCCGCTTTAAGGTAAGACCAACAGGATGAGTCAAGGCAAGGCTGAATAGTGGGCATAGCACAAAGCATATTTATAGGGTGCTGTTGTTTTTCAAGTCAATAAATGATTAAAGGGTGTTTGAGGTGAAGGATGCTACAGCTACATTTTTTTTTGACAAATATAGATTATATTTTCTTGAACTTCAAAGACTACTGTAGAAAGAGCGTTGTTTTCTTACTAGATCTCTTGGAGATAATGAAAGCAGGGGTCATCACCATCCTCTATAGGACTCAAGGTAAGAGAACATAGTGGTGATCAGGGCAAGCATGTTGTCTATACTTCCACTCAAAGTTCTTGTGCATCTCAAGGAAGTAGGGGATGTGCAAGGCATATACCTTTTCCTCTAGTTTTTTGTAAGTGCTGCATGCAGCCCTGGAAGGGCAAAGCTCTATGCTGATGAACAGTCCTAGAAGGTATGTTGCTTGGATTGGGGTTAAATTGGAAAGTAGCATGAATCAACTTAGTGATGTTTTTCCCTTTGGTTTTATAGGTGTGGTGGAGGGCTGTCCTCAAAAGTGGCTAAGGATTTTAGGTGAGGCTGGGTAGGAGAGAGAAGTGGTATAGCTGGCAATTGTTTTTGAACACAATGGTCACTTTGTAACTCTAGTTTTCTAGGTACTACAGGAAAGAATACTAACAGCATTATCTCACTGTGGAATCAGAGTGGAGAAGGTGAGTGCAGTGACATGGTGTTCTGAGGGTGCTCCTGTGGAAGAGGTCTGTGGTGGCTGACATGCCAGTGACTAATGGTGCCCTATTACTGTGGAAGATGAAGAACCTGGTGACTGCAGGAGCATCCTGGCTAGAGGATGTAGTCTTTGTCAAGGATGGGTTCTGACCCACCTCGCACTCTGAAAGCTAGGTTGAGAGGCAAATACTAAGTCTGGGTAGGGGAAGAATGGGAATTGGAGAGTGGGGTAGGCAGGGGGTTTTAAGTCAGTGCTGTGGAGAGGGCTGCTCAGGATCACTTGTGTTCGGGTACAGATAGAGGGTGCTGGGTCTGTTCCACGTGATGCAAACGTGTTCCAGGCAGAGCAGTTCCAGACTGTGTCTATGTTGCGGTGTAGTTTGTATAGTCTGTGTTCTGTGTCCTATGCCATACTTTCATCGGGTCTTGATGACCATATTGCTCTTAACATTTGGTGAGCTCTGCATGCACCTCAGTAGGCATCCTTAAGGTCTTAAATGCCTCATCTCTTTAGCATAGCACTAGTCAAGCACTTCTTGCCTCACAGCTGAAGTGCGGATCTGCGTTTTGCACTGTAGGTGTTTCTGGTTCGCAGTGGTAATTTAGGCTGTGTCAGCAGATTTTCTCTTGAGAGTTCTGTTTCTGTGGGGCCCTATTCTGGGGTTTTCTTCCCTGTGTCCTTACAGTCTTGGGTCTCGGAGCCCAGCTTCTCACCCATACATCATCCCAGTTCTGATGGCAGCTTTCTGCCACAGGCTGTGGCATTCGACTGTTATCCAGAGCTGTTGTAGAGCATCAGCACTATGCTGTCATGGCACTGTAGGGCTTCTTCGCTGGTGAGGTTCTCCTGCCAGCAGCTGGTCTTCTTACATCTTTTGGTCATGTTGTTGGTAGTGTCTGTGTGTGCACTTGAGTTGGAGCTGTCCTGCCTGGGAGTGTAGTAATGATAGAGTAAGGGGCAGCATAGCAGTACTGTGCTGCAGTAACTTGTTGATCTGCCCAGTTTCTTTTGCATTGGATCATACGATCCATTTCTGTGCGAGTAGCCAGCAGCAGCCAGGTGACTTGTTTCATATTGTTTTTTTGACAGATGCAGAGTGACCAGCTGCATATTAGAGGGCAATGGAGGAGGCCAGCAGAGTGCTGTGAGAAAGTGGGCTAGTGTGTGGTATGGGAGGACAAACGCTATTGTTGGTGGTTATGACTAGTTCTAGTTGTGGATCACTTCTACTCTGGTGAAATTCCTCCCTCCGTCTTGGAGTCCATTGTGGTTTCTCCTTTCTGTGTCTGTGGCTGGTTGGCTCCTCCTCCCTGTTCTTCAGTTTCTTCCTTCTGGTCTCTTTAGCCTGTGGTGATTTTACTTCTTTCTCTCTGTCTGTCTCTGGATCCCAATTATTTAATTCCTCCTTCTCTTCCCTGTAGCCTGTCTTTCTGCTTTTTATCCACTTTTTATCTATCTCCCTTCCCCTGTCTGGATCCCTGTCCTGATGTTTTAATGCCTCCCTCTCTGCCTTCTAGCTGTTGCTATACTTTCTGTAAGTGTTGCTCTGTGTCTGGCTCCTCGTCCTTATCCTTTCATTCCTCTTCCTTGTAGCCTGTCACTATATGTGTCTTTTACTGTCTCTCTCTGTCCAGCTCTGGATCCCTGTTTCTTCCTTTTTCTCTATATGTGCCCTGTTCCCCCTGGCTATTTTTATCTTCTCCATCTCTCTCTGCCCAGCGCCGGATCCATATTTTTGCATTCCTCGCTCTATGTCCAGTAGCCCGGTGGTATTTTGTCTTTCTCGTACTCTGTCTGGCTCCCTGTCCCTGTTGTTCGGTTACTTCCTTCTTGTCCCCGTAGCACGTTGTGATTCTGTTTTTCTCTGCCTCTCCTTTCCCAGCTCCCCGTCCCGGACTTTTCATTCCTCCCTCTCTGCCCTGTTGCCTCTTGGGTCGTGTCCCCGCCTTCCTCCATCTGCCTCTTCCTTGCTTCCTGTCCCTGTTTCTTTAATTCCTCCCTCTGACGCATAGCCTGTTGCTTTTTTCTCCATCTGTGTCCATCCCAGTGTCCCCATTCTTTAATCATTCCTCTCTGACCTGTACCCTGCCGCTATTTTTGTCTTTCTTTGTCCCTCTCTGTCCAGCTCCCTGTCCCAGTTTATTAATTCTTCCCTCTTCTTGCACTCACCGCTATTCCCTGCAATCTCTATCTCTTTCCGTCTGGCTCCCTGTCCCCAGTTTTTAATTCCTCCTTCTGCCCTGTGTAGTCTGGAATTTTTCTTTGGTGTCTCTCTCTATGGCTGGTTCCCCCTCTCTGTGTTTTAATTCCTCATTCTCTGTCCCATAGACCCACGCCATTTGCCTGTATTTCTCCCCCTCTCTCTCTCTCTGTCCGGCTCCCTGACACTATTTTTTATTTCCTCCCTATCTGTCTTGTAGCCCATCGCTGTCTTTATGTTCCTTTCTCCGTGTCTGTCTGGCTCCCACTCCCTGTTCTTGACTTGCTCTCTCTTCCCAGTAGCCCGCAGCTACATTTTTTTGTGTCGTCCATTGCCCTGGCCCTGTTGATGAATCCCACCCTCTGTGCCCTGCGGTCTGTTGCTTTTCCCCATTCTATTTCTGCCTCTCTCCCTGTCTGCCTCCCCATCCCTGGTTTTTAAATTCCTCCCTCTCCGTCCCGTCGCCCTTGCGATCTTTTGCCTTTCGCTGTCTCTGCATGGCCAGCTCTCTGTCCCTCTGCATTAATTCCTCCCTCTCCATGCTGTAGCCTGTCGCTTTTGTCCTTTCTTGATCTGTCCCTGGCTCCTCGATAACCCTATTTTAGAATTCCCCCTCTGTTCTTTGTGTACACATTGATATTCTTTCTCCTCTTCAGCTGTTTTTTTTTCCGGTTCCCCCTCCCCGTTTCTTAATTCTACCATCTCTGCCCTGCAGTCTGTGGTTATGCGTTTTTTTCTAGTGTCCCAGACCCTGCTCCTCCTTTTGGTCAGTCTCCACCTCTGCCCAGCAGCCCATTGCTGCGGGAGCTGTCCGACCGCTCCTGGCCGGAGAGCCGAGCACGGCTGCGGGAACAACTGCTGCGGCGTCCCAGGGGCAGGGGGAGCGTCGGGGGGCGCGGGACCTGGAGCAGCCTCGCTGCTGGGACTTGTTCTGTGTGTGACTGGATCAATGCTTGCCGCCACAGGGCTGCGTTTTGTCCTTCCTTTGCAGCGGGCGAGGGGCTGTGAGGGAACCCCGGGGGGGCCAGGAGGTGACCCAGGGCCGGGGTCGGGCCTTACGGGGGCGCCGCCTGCTGGCCGGCAACCGGTACTGCAGACGGGGACCTGCGCATGCGCAGTGAGGGCGTCACGTGCCGAGCTCGGCACTGCCACCTGCCAAAAAAAATGCGGTACTGCAGCCCCGGATCTGCGCATGCGCGGTGGGTGCCCTCAGTGCCGCCATCGCCACTGCCTCCTGACGACCGAAATGTGGTACTGCAGTTGCAACGGGGCGCATGCGCGGTGGGGCGCCCTATGCCGATGTCGGCACTGCCGCCTGCCGAACATAATGCGGTACTGCAGCCTAGCAGCCGCGCATGCGTGGTGGGGGCGCGCTGTGCAGCGGTCGCTGCTGCCTCCGCCGTTAACGGTAGCGTTCCGGAGCTGCGGCTGCAGCGGGGGCGAAGGTGGGCGGGAGCGCGCGAGCGACCGGAGCAGCGGCGGCTTCCAGGGAGAGGCCCGAGGAGGGGGGCGGTGCCGGTGGGGCGGGGGAGCGCCGCTCTGGGTCGCAGCCGGGGACGGTGCGGGGCGGGCTGGCCGGAGCCGCCCTGTGGAGGGCGGGGGGCTGAACAGCGGTGTCCCCCGCAGGGTGAGAGCGCAGGGCGACCTGCCTCCCGCGGCATGCTGGGAGCTGTAGTCTTCCGGCACCGGGCGGCCATGCTTTGCTTGCCCCAGGGCTTGCCGGGAGCTGTACTCTTCCGACACTGGGCGGCGGGCGGCCAGGCTGTGCTTGCCCCAGGGCATGCCGGGAGCTGTAGTTTTTGCGGACCCGGCTGCCGGACAGCTGCGGTGCTCTCTGTGGTGCGCGGCCCGGCGCAGTCCTCTCTACCACCGTGGCCCCCGCAGCGCGGCTCGAGGTGTAGTTTTGGTGCCGGTTTTATGTGCTTTCCTGCGGGCGCCCGGCTGCTCCCCGAAAATCCGGTACTGCCGCCCCGGAGGCGCACATGCGCGGTGGGGTCTCCCTGTGCCGCGCTCGGCACTGTCGCCTGCCGAACGAAGCAGTACTGCAGCCCCGGAGCCGCGCATGCGCGGTGGGGGGCGTCCTCTGCAGCAATCGCTGCTACCTCCGCGGTTAACGGCAACGTGACGCGGCGGTGCCGGCGGAGCGGCGCCGCCGTGCCTGTTGCTTCCTCCCGGTAAGCAGCTGCCGCCGCCGCCGCCCCCCGTGCGCGGTACTGCAGCCCGGCGTTCGCGCGCCGGCTCTGGCCCCTTCGGCGCGCTGTCGGCAGCCAGTGCAGCAGCGGTGCCCGGGAGAGAGAGGGGCGCGGTGGCGGCGGGTGGAGGCTGCCGGTGAGGCGAGCGAGCCCGCCCCTTGGGCGGGTGTGGGGGTGTCTCCAGGGGGCGGGGGGGGCGGGAAGCTGCACCCCCTCCGCTGCGGCAGGCGAGCCGGGCCAGCGCAGCCCTGGGGAGTTCCCTGAGAGCGGGAAGGGGGAAAGGAGGCGGGCGTCCCCAACTCGCCAGAGATCCCCTTGAGCCGCCCCCGCCCCGCTCGCCCCGTGCCGCTGCCCTCAGCTCCAGCCCCTCCCCTGGAGCCTGTCCCGTAGCCTCAGGCCCCCCCCAAGCCCTGTCGTGAGGGCAGCGAGCTGGCCCACAACCGCATCTCCAGCAGCCCCTGCGGAAGGAGGAGCCGTGGCCAGGGGTGGGCTCTGGTGCTGACAGTCTCTGTTTCGTCTTTCCCTCTTCCAGAGGCTGCGCTGAGGATGCGGTTTTCCGTTCCTCCCCCGGGGATGCTGCTGACTGCACCCGCCTCAGGCTTGCGTGGGCTGTCCTCTGCCTGGCCTCGTGCACCTTGCGGCATGGCGGCAAAAAGGAACAGGCGGAGCGCTGGCTGGCGGTGGGCAGGAGTTGCCGTGGCTGACGCTGGAGAGGCCAGAGAAAGGCAAAGAGGCCTAAACTGGTGGCCATCCGGCCGGCAGCTGCCTCCCGCTGCAGGAAGAGAGAGCCAGCCTCTCCGGGTGAGGAAGGATCCCGCTTCGCAGTCTGCAGCAGCTCAGACCACCAACGTGCACCGCAGGGTCTGTATGTCTCACTGAAACCGCGGTACAGCCACGTAGTGCACGAGCGAGCGGGGCTATGTGTGGAGGAGGCGTCGTCTCGTAATTTTACAGTTACCTTAACAAAGTAGCTTGAATCTTAGAATATTATTTTGATTTTAGTTTAGAATATGATTTTGATTTTAAAATGGAGTTATAGCAGCTATGTGAATATAAAGCCCACTAAGGCCCTTAGTAGCTAATATGGTGTGTGCCTTGAACACTGTACGAATCGTTATGGACTCTGAATTAAAACAATGGGTACTGGTTATGGATCTCGAGTCAAAACAATAGGTGCCAGAAGATACTGGGTTTGGTTTGGAAGATCAGCCAAAGAAGAAATGAGCATCGGCCAAAGATGAATTGAGCATGCGGACACAATGAGGAAGACTATTAACAACCACCAGAGGACCCCCGTCCAACATAACCACGCATGCACTAGAGACATTTGCATTTGATAATGATTTCCAGGAAATAACATGAATATGCCGATCATTACCCTCCCCTCATTCTATTCAAATCAATCAGTAAAGATGACCAATGATTTCTGTAGAATAGGAATATAGGTAAGGTGAGGTAACTGAAAGCCAATCGTTATTAAGGTCAAACTAAACTTTATGAATTTTGTTGATATTATGTAACCATTACTCTGCTGGAAAAGTGTATAAATATGTTGTGCTTTGTACCTGTCAGTGAACACATTTTTTGGTGGAGCTATCCCTTGTGTTCCCCAGCACTGGAATAAAGAAGTGCCTGCTTATCTGCTTTGTGTAGATAAGTTTTATTCGTGATTGCAACCGCTAACATCTCTGTCCTCTCTGCTGCCACAGAGGACCATTATAAAGGTACAGGAGAAGAGGACCACATTTTGTCTAATAGAGAAGAGGAAGGAAAGTCTAAACGAGGGCCCCCTTGGCTGGGCATAGATAAATGTGCACAGTGTAAAATTTGGTCATTGGAAGAATGAATATATATAGAATTGGCAACTCGCAAAGTGACTACAAGTTATGTATGAGGCTCTTTACAGCGATCCAAATTTTAGAAAAGTAAAAGAATTTACTACTGGGAAAAGAAAAGGGGGGAACTGATCTGCGGAAACACTAACCCCATAGTCCCCTCCTTTCAGGGGATGCTCACACTAACCCGATAGCCCCCCTCCTTCTTGGGGTGCTCACCAGATGGCCTCCATCAAAGCATGGTAACTCCTTTGCAATGGAATGAGTGTCCTGGGTTGAGTGAGTGGTGGAGTCGTTTTGGTGGCAGGGGAGGGGGCTATAGGGGCGGCCCTCTGTGAGAAGCTTCCTGAAGCTCCCCCAGCTCCAAGTCAGCTCCACCTCTGTTTGGAAACTGAGCCAATCGGCTGCGCCTCTGCGATAACGTAATTAAGAAGGGACGTGGTGACGAGCAGTTGGACTTGTGAGGAGGAGTTGCTGCAGCTGCATGAACACCAAGGTCAGTGGAGGAACAGAGGAAGAAAGGATGGGGGAGGTGTGCAGGATCAGAGACCCCCTTTATCCTGTGGTGAGGTGGCAGGGCACCCCCCCCCCCCCCGCCACCCATGGAGATCTATGGTGGAGCAGACACTGATTTATGGCCTGTGGCTTCCGCCTGCTTGATCAAGGTGCTGTGCCCAAAGAAGGCCGGGGTCTTGTGGGAAAAGGTAGCCCCACTGCTGTAATTCAGCGCTGGGAGGATTGCAGCATGCGGGGGTGTCCCACACCGGAGCAGCTCGGGAAGGGCTGCAGCCGTGGGAGGGAATCCAGTTGGAGAAAGTTGGTGACCCACAACGGAGCAGTGTGGGGAACGCTGTGGCCTGTGGGAGGAACTCATGTCGGAGAAAGTTTGTGGAGGACTGTCTCCTGTGAGAGGGGGACCATGATGAAGCAGGGGGAAGAAGTTCCAGAAGCTCCCCTCACTGAAGATGGAGAAAGTGGCAGCATTGGCTGCACCCCCCATTCCCTGCCCCTGCACTGCTGGGGGAGGAGGTAGAGATATCGGCAGCAGAGCTGAGCCCGGGAAGAAGGGAGGGATGGGGGGAAGGTGTTCTCAAGATGTGGCAATGTTTTTCACTGTCCTACCCTCTTACGTGTTATTAGTGTCTGTAATAAAGGTATGGTTTTTTTTTTTTTATTTCCCCTAGCGAGTCTGCCTTTTGCTCGTGACCATAAAGGGGGATTTTTTCCCCATCCCAGTTGTATCTTGAACCCCAAGCCTGGCTCACTGTCCCTTCTTATTGCCGGAAGAGAAGGGAGAGAGAGCCGCTGCGTGGTGGTTGGTTGCCAACCAGGCTCAAACCGCGACAATGAGAAAGAACAAGATGGGCCATTGATGGTCCCTATCAAAGGACGGTAACTCCCTTGTGATTGAATTGAAGGAAGACGGGATGGGCCATGTCTGGTATCTCTTGTCCTTGAGATAAGAGGGGAACTAAAACCACTGAACCATAAAGACAAAGGAGCTGCAAATTAGCCCAGACTTGAAGGACAAGGTGTACGTGACTACAGGACTGAGTTTGCGCAGAAGTAAGGGTCAACTAGCGAGCACCATGAAGGAGACTATGAGCCTCCATCTGAAGACCCCTGCCGACGACCACCAAGAAGCACTGCGCAAGTGCGACGGGAGGAATTTGGGGCGGGGAGGTTATGGTAATGATTTCTTGGAACTAATTGTAATATTCCCTCCCTATCCTCGGAGAAGTGATGCATATGTATTAGAGTAGATGAATATGTAGCGTTTTTAAGCAATAAAAAGGAGCAGCTTTTGGCTCCAAGTGGGGCACGCATTTGGAAGAAATGATTCCCCTGTGCGCCCAGCGCTGAATAAACATACCTAGTTTAAAACCTTACTGGTTGTAAAGTCATGATTCCGTGCCTCATCGTCTTGAAATGTCATTTGTATCATAATTGTATTAGAGCTGCTGACCAATCGGTGTCTAATAGGAATGTTTGAAAAAGCACCAACCTGTGATTTGGGTGTATAGAAGAAGCACCTGCACCTGCCGTTAGCTGTGCTGGATTTGAGGAAAATCCACTGAGCCCCCAGGCCTGAATAAAAGACGGTATTGCTCCTGAGCCTGTTAAGATCACCTTATTGCAGGACGGGTACCCACGGGCTCCAGCTGTAGGCTGAGGCCGGGGCAGCCCAGGTGGGACCGGTGAGGTGAGGATGGGACCAGGCCAAGGTTTTAAATAGGCTGCAGCTGGGGAGCTGGGGCTGGACTGGGGCAGCCCCAGGTGCAGCCAGTGAGGCTGAGGCTGAGGCTGAGGTCGGCCCTACCGTGCAAAGGGGCTCTAGCTGGAGTCGGGGGGGGTGGGTGGTGGTGGTGGTTGTGGTGGTTCCTGCCCGCGGGAGCTGGCTGAGGAGCAAAAGAAAGAGTTTCAGCCGCGGCTGCCCGCGGCCAGGAGCGGCCGGTCCGTGCGGCGAGGAAGGATTCCTCTCGGCCGGCCCCGACGGGGCGCAGCACCGGCGCCGGGAGCTCGGCGCCCCCGAGCCGCCGGGTGGCCGGGAAGCCTCGCGGGGGAGGCGCTCGGAGGCGCGTGCCGCCCGCCCCCGCGTGGGTGAGGGTCGGGCAGCCGGCGCTGCGGAGGTGGGAAGGGGCGGAGGCGGAGAGACGAGCCCCGGGGCTGCGAAAGCCTCGGGCCGGGGCCGGTACCGGGAGCTGCGGCGGGTCGCGCGTCCCCCCGGGCCGGTCCCGGCCGCGCTTCTCCAGCTGCCCGCCTGCTCCCGCCTCCGGCTGCCTTTCGGGCTGGCCGGGTCCCCGCAGCTTTCTGCTGTTTCTGCCGACACCGCCCCGTCCCCCGTCGCCTTCTCCACGTCCTTTCCACGCCGCTCCCTTGCTGGCTCCCCAGCCGCCTGAAGCATTTCATTCCTTCCACGCTGCCGCCTTCCCTGTCGCTTGTGAAAATCGCATCGGAAGGTCTCCCTCTACCCGGCGACTCGTATCTGTTCTCAGCATCTCCCTGTCTCTCTCCCTCCCTCACTGAAATCGCGTTCAGCGTTAACGAGCGGGCATTGCTTTATTTGGCCGGGGACGCAAGGGAATCGTTCTGCCTAACGTGCTTGCTGTACGTTACGATAGCCAAAGCTTATATTGCTCCGTTACGTGTCTATTTATCCAATTTCCAAAAAGTCATTACAGTAATCACATAATTATTATGTGTGCAGTTTAGGTCTCTGAGGGACTTCCGCGGGGGTTGTCGGTGGTCTCTAGCCACCTCTGGTGGTCTTTGGAGAGCATCCGTTCTTATACTTTGTCTATGGTTTGGAATTGGTCTTTCTTTGGTTTATGTTTGCACTTTCTTATCTCTTGCCTAGCTTCAGCTAGTTTGTTCTTTTTCAGAGGGCCTTAATCTTCAAGGACAATGGCTCGCGATTAGGAGTCTCCTGATTTCCTCATGGGGCCTCTCCACATCTGCGTTTCCCGGGAGGCGTTTATCACGCTCGCCTAGCTCAGGGACCTCTGTGTGACGGACAACGTGTTGCCGGTGTTTGACCAATTGCTTAAGTTTTTACACTACCCTAAACAATGTTTTTTCCTTCACTGTTTTTCAACAAGAGGGCACTGGGAGGACAGGAGGACATGGGGAAGGACTGGAGGACACTGGGGGACATTGGGAGGTCTGCGGGGCCACGGAACATAATGGGAGACCCTGGACACAAACTGGGAGACACTGGATGTGCTGCAGAGGGGCCTGGAGGACACTGGGGGCGTACTGGGAGACACGGTGGGGACTGGAGCGATACTAGGGGTGTCTGGCAGGACTTGGCAGACCCTGGCTGGACTGGGAAATGCCGGGATGGGCACTGGGGGACACTGAGAGGGACTTGAGAGCACTGGGAGTTACCAGGGAGTCTGTGGCAGGCCTGGGAGACACTGAGGGACTCTGCAGGTGCACTGGAGGGACGCTGAGAGGGACTGGGGGGTACTGGGAGACACTGGATGGTCTGAGGGGACACGGAACAGAGCGGGAGACACACTGCAGAGGACCGTGGGGGGGATGCTGGGAGGACTGAAAGGTACTGTAAGGATCCTAGGGGGTCTGAGCAGGACTGGGAGGACACTGGACGGGCTGGGACACAGTTGGGGGCACTGGTGGGGCACTGGAAGATACTGGGGGGACTGGAGGGCACTGGGGGAATACTAGGGGGTCTCTGACAGGACTAGGAGGACACTGGATGGACTGGGAGATGCTGGCGGGCACTGGGGGACCCTGGGAGGGACTGGAGGATACAGGGAGACGCTGAATTCTTTGGGAGGCACTGTGTGAGCACTGGGAGACACTGGGAGGGAGTGGAGGCCACTGGGGCTGACTAGGGGTTGAAGGTGCAGGGAGTCTAGTTGGTGTGCAGGGGAACCACACAGTGCGAAGCAAGTCTTCCTGGGTGCACGGGGCTCAGACAGGGTGCAGGGGGTCTGTTTAGGTTGCAGGGGGACTAGGCAAGGTGTAGTAGGGCTAGTTGTGGTGCAGGGGTTCTTTCTGGGGTGCGGGGGGGTCTGGTTGGGGTTCAGGAGGCTGAGACAGGGTGCTAGGGAGCCAGAGAGGTTACAGCGGGTCTGATTGGGGAACAGGGAGCTAAGACAGGGTGTAGGGGGCACATACAGGTGCAGGAGGTCTTCTTGGGGGGGCAGACGGTTCAGACAGGGTGCAGGCAGGTTGCAGGGCATCTGGTTGGGGTGTGTAGGATCTTGTTGCGGTGCAGGGGTTGTGTGTTGTGTGCGAGGGGTCCAGACAGGATGCTGAGTGTCTGGCTGAGGTGCAGGGGGCCCAGGCAGGGCCCAAGGAGGCCAGGCAGGTTGCAGGGGGTCCAGAGAGGGTGCAGGGGGTCTGCTTGGAGTGCAGGGGGGGAAAGCAGGGTGCATATGGGGGCTAGTCAAGAGCAGGGGGTCTCTTTGGGGGACAGGGGGTCTACGTGGGGTTTGGGGAGCCCTTACAGTATGCACAGCTGTCAATCAGGGTGCAGGGGGGGCCAGACATGTTCCATGGGGGCTAGTCAAGGTATAGAGACCACCTGTTTGGGGTGCAGGGGGTCTTGTTGGGGTGCAGGAGACCCAAACAGGTGCAGGGGACCAGGCAGGTTTCAGGGGTGTGTTTGGGGTGCAGGGGGTCTGCTTGGTGTGCAGAGGGCACAGACGGGGTGAACAGAGGGGAAGCGGGGCACATGGGGTCTAGTCAAGTGCAGGGGGTCTGGTTGGGGTGTGTTGGTGGGGGAGGACAAGGTGTATCAGGGCTGGTTGGGGCTCAGGGCAACTGCTTGGGGTTCAGGGGACCTAGACAGTGTGAAGGGGCACAGGACAGCCTGTAGGGATGCCAGAGAGTTTGCAGGGTGTCCGGTTGGTGTTCAGGGAGGCCAAAGAGGTTGCAGGGGGTTTTCTTGGGGTTCAGGCACCCAGACAGAGCGCATGGGGGCCAGACAGGTTGCAGGGGCCTTCTTGGTGTGCAGGGGGACCAGACAGGGTGCATGGGATCTAGTCAAGGTACAGAGGGACTTTTTGGGGTACAGGGGGTCTGGTTGGGATGCAGGGGTCTCAGACAACGTGCAGGGCGTTTTGCTGGGGTGCAGGGGGCTCAGAGAGGTTTCAGGGGGTTCTGGTTGAGGTGCAGGAGCTCTGTTTGGGGAACGCGGGACCCGGACAAGTTGCAGGGCATCTGTTTGCTCTGCATGGGGTTCAGACAGGGTTCAGAGTGTCCAGGTGAGGTGCAGGTGGCCCAGACAGTGTGCAGGGGTTCTGTTTGGCATGCAAGGCATCCAGGTGAGATGCAGAGGGTCTGATTGGGGTTCAGGGCACCGAGACGGAGTTCAAGGGGTGCAGGCAAGGTGCAGGGTGTTCTGGTTGGGCTGCAGGGATTGTAGACAGGGTGCAGTGGATATTGCGGGGTGGAGGGGGTTCAGACTTGTTTCAGGGAGTTCTGCTTGTGGTGCAGGGGGCCTGTTTGGGAAGCAGGGGACACAGACACGTTGCAGGGGGTTCTGGTTGCGGTGCAGGGGGTCTGGTTGTGGTGCAAGTGTGCTAGACAGGGTGCAGGGGGTCTTGTTGGGGTTCACGTGGTTCAGACAGGGTTCAGGGAATCTGGTTGGGACGCAGGGGTCTCAGGCAGGGTGCAGGGGCCTTGTTGGGTTGCAGGGGGTTCAGACAGTGTTCAGGGGTTCTTGGGAAGTTGGAGGAGGTTCCATTTGGGGTGCAGGGGTGCTGTTTGTGATGCAGGGGGCCCAGACAGGGTGCAGGGAGTCTTGTTGGGGTGCAGGGGTTCAAACAGGTTTCTGGGGGTCTAGGCAAGTTTCAGGGGGTTCTGGTTGGGGTGCAGGGGGTCTGGCTTGGATGCAGGGAGCCTAGACAGAACGCAGAGGGTTCAGACAGGCTTCAGGGGGTCCAGGCAAGTGTCAGTGGGATCTGGTTGGGATGCAAGGAGCCCAGACAGGGTGCAGGGGGTCTTTTTGGTGTGCAAGGTGTTCAGACACGGTTCAGGGGGTTCTGGTTGCGATGCAGGGGGTCTTGTTGGGGTGCAGGGAGTTCAGACAGGTTTCAGGTGGTTCTGCTTGTGTTGCATGTGGTCTGCCTGGGATGCAGGTGACCTAGACACGGTGCAGGGGTTCTTGTTGGGGTGTAGGTGGTTCAGACAGGGTTCAGGGTGTCCTGTTGGGGTGCTACATGTTCAGACAGGGTTCAGGGGGGTCTAGGCAAGATGCAGCCATTTCGGGTTGGGGTGGATGGTTCTGGCTGGGATGCAGGGAGCCTAGACACAGTGCAGGTGGTTCAGACGGGGTTCATGGGGTCCAGGGAAGTTTCAGGGGGTTCTGGTTGGTGTGCAGTGGGCCCAAAGAGGGTGCAGCGGGTCTTGTTGGGGTTTAGGTGGTTCAGGCAGCGTTCAGGAGGTTCTGGTTGGGATGCAGGGGTTCTGTTTGGGAAGCAGGGTAACCAGACCCGTTGCAGGTGTTCTCTTTTCGTTCAAGGGGGTTCAGAGAAAGTGCAGGTGGTTCTGGCTGGGATGCGTGGGGTGTGTTTGGGGCGCAGGGGGTTCAGACGGTTGTTCAGGAGGTGCAGGCAAGATGCAGGGGATTCTGGTTGGGGTGCAGGGGTTTCATACAGGGTTCAGGGAGTCCAGGAGAGATTCTGGGATTTCTGTTTGGGGTGCAGGGCCTCCAGGCAAGCTGCAGGTGTTCTGGTTGGGGTGCTGGGTGTTCAGACAGGGTTGAGGCATTTCTGTTTGTGGTGCGGGGGTTCTGGTTGGGGTGAAGGGCACCCTGACAAGTTGCAGTGGTTCTGGTTGGCGATCAGGGTGCCCACAGGGTTCACGGGGTCCAGGCAATGTGCAGGGGGTTCTGGTTGGGGTCCAGGCGGTCTTGTTGGCATGCTGGATGTTCAGACACTCTTCAGGATGCAGAGGGTGTGTTTGGGGTGGAGGGCATCTAGGGAATGCGCAGGGGTTCTTGTTAGGATGCAGAGATCCCAGACAGGGCGCAGGGGTGCTTGTTGGTGCAGGGGGCTCAGAGAGCGTTCAAGGGGTCAAGGCAAGGTGCGGGGGTTCTGTTTGGGATGCAGGGGGCCCAGACTGTGTGCAGGGGCTCCTGTTGGTGTGCAGGGAGTTCAGAGATGGTTCCGGGTGTTCTGGTTGGGGTGCAAGGGGTCTGGTTGGGATGCAGAGAACCCAGACATGGTGCAGGGGTTCTTGTTGGGGAGCGGAAGTCACAGACAGGATGCAGGGAGTTCAGACAGGTTTCGGGTAGTTCTGGTCGTGTTGTGTGGGGTCTGGTTGCGATGCGGGTGACCTAGACGCGGTGCAGGGATTGTTGTTGGGGTGTAGGGGGCTCAGACAGGGTTCAGGGTGTCTCGTTGGGGTGCTGCATGTTCAGATAGAGTTCAGGGTCTAGGCAAGATGTAGCCATTTCTGGTTGGGGTGCATGCTTCTGGTTCAGATGCAGGGAGCCTAGACACGGTGCAGGTGGTTCAGACGGGGTTCATGGGGTCCAGGGAAGTTTCGGGAGGTTCTGGTTGGGGTGCAGGGGGTCTGTTTGGTTTGCAGGGCCTCCAGGCAAGGTGCAGGGATTCTGATTGTGGCTCAGGGGGTCTAGGCAAGTTGCAGGGGGTTCTGTTTGGCGTGCAGGGAAGCAGGTGACCTAGACACGTTGCAAGGGTTCTGCTTGGGGTGTAGGGGGTTCAGACAGGGTTCAGGGGGTCCAGGCAACCTGCAGGGGGTTCTCGTTGGGGTGCGGGGGGCTAAGAGAGGGTTCAGGGGCTCCAGGCAATGTGCAGGGTGTCTGATTGGAGTTCTGAGGGCCCAGGAAAGGTGTACGGGGTTCTGTGTGGTTGCAGGGGGTCTTGTTATTTTGCAAAGGGTTCAGACAGGGTTCAGGGTGTTCTGGGTGGTGTGCAGGTATGGGGGTCGACAGTTGGGCGGGGGACCCTGAAGGGGACCGGAGGGTGGATCCTGACTGGGTTCTCGCCCTTGAACAGATAAAAATGTATCCTTAGTAGTACAACACGCCCAGCTTGTACCCAGTAACCGTGAGAGAGGAACAAAAGCTAACTGTACAATGCTTGCTAGACTAACCGTGGGAAACCACGAGAAACTGTAACTGTAGCACATGAAATCACAATTGTAGATTTTTAGGGCATAGACCTTAGTTACAGGAGGTTGATAGGGAAAAGGCCAATAGTAACTAAGTTCAGCAACTGCCAATAAGCTGTGATCTAACTGCACTGGCTTGCCTTAAGGGTTATAAAAGGTGTGTAAAAAAGGGCAATAAAATAAATAAATAATAAAAATCATCATCATCATTGATCTGCAACCCATATTGTCATCTGTCCGTCTATATCATGACATGCAGGGGGTCTGGTTGGGATGCAGGGGACCCAGACAGGGTGCAGGGGATGTCTTGTTGTTGTTCAAGGGGTTCAGAGAGGGTTGAGGTACTTCTGGTTGGGGTGCAGGGCATCTGTTTAAGATCTGAGGGTCCCATATACATTTCAGGGGTTCTGGTTGGGTTCAGGTTGTCCAGACAAGGTGCAAGCAGTTCTGGTTGGGATGCAGTGTCTTCAGAGAGGGTTCAAGGGGTCCAGGCAATGTGCAGGGGGTTCTGGTTGGGGTGCAGGAGTTCCATCTGGGCTTCAGGATGTCCAGGTGAGATGCAGGGTGTCTGTGATGCAGGGAACCCAGACATCGTTCTGGTGTTCTTGCTGGGGTGCAGCGCCTTCAGATGGGGTTCAGAGTGTTCTTTTTGTGCAGGGGGTCTGTTTGGGAAGCAGCGGGTCCAGACACGGTTCAGGGGTTCTGGTTGTGGTTCAGTGGGTTCAGACAGGGTTCAGGGAGTCCAGGGAAGGTGCAGCGGGTTCTGGTTGGGCTGCAGGCGGTGTTTGGTGTGCTGGGGGCCCGGACAGGGTGCAGGGGTTCTCGTAGATGTTCAGGATGTTCTGACACCGTGCAGGGGTTCTGTTTGGGAATCAGGGGACACAGACATGTTGCAGGGGTTCTTGTTTGGGTGACGGGGCTTCAGACAGTGTTCAGGGGGTTCTGGTTGGGGTGTGTGGGATGCGTTGGGGGTGCACGGGCACAGACGTGCTGCTGGGGATCTTGATGGTGTGGAGGGTGTTCCAACAGGATTCGGGGGTTCAAGTAAGTTGCAGGGGGTTCTGGTTGGGGTGCAGGGCATCCAGGCAACGTGCAGTGTGTCTGATTGGAGTTCAGGGGACCAGGCTTTAGACATCTGGGGAAAGCATAGGGGATTCTGTTTGGGGTGTAGGGGCTCTATCTGTGATACAGAGGGCCCAGAAACTGTGCAGAGTGACTTGTTGGGGTGCAGGGGGTTCAGGTGAGATGCAGGGGGTTCTTGTCGGGGTGCAGGTCATCCAGGCAAGGTGCAGGGTGTTCTGGTTGGGGTGCAGGGGCTTTAGACAGCGTTTAGGGTTCCATGTAAGGTGCGGGTGGTTCTGGTTGGGGTAAAGGGGGTCTGTTTGGGTTGCAGAGGCTCCAGGCAACGTGCAGAAGATCTGATCAGGGTTCCAGGGGTCCAGGCAAGGTGCAGGTTGTTCTGATTGGGGTGCAGGCAGTCTGGTTTGGATGCAGGGGACCCAGACAGGGTTCAGGAGTTCTTGTTGTGGTTCAGGGAGTCTCAGACAGGGTTCAGGGCATCCAGGCAAAGTGCAGCGCATTCTGGTTGGGGTGCAGGGTGTCTGTTTGTGATTCAGGCAACCCGGACATTGTGCAGGGTGTGTTGTTAGGGTGTAGGGGGTTCAGATATCATTCAGGGTGTCCAGGCAAGTTTCAGAGGTTTCTGTTTTGCATGCAGGGGATCTTTTTGGGATGCAGGGGCCCCAGACATGGCGCAAGAGTTCTTGTTGGGGTGCAGGGGTTTCAGCCTTCATGGCGTTCAGGCAATGTGCAGGGGGTTCTGGTTGTGGTGCGTGGGATCTGCTTTGCTTTGTGTCACAGGGCTTCCAGGCAAGGTGCAGACGGTCTCATTTGGATTCAGGAGGCCCAGAGAGGGTTCAGAGGGTTTAGGCAAGGTGCAGGGTTTTCTGTTTGGGGTGCAGGGATCCCAGAGAGGGTGTAGGGTGTCTTGTTGGGGTGTACAGTGTTCAAGGCAAGTTTCATGGAGTTCTGTTTGTTGTGCAGGGGGTCGGGTTGGGGTGCACGGGTTCTGTTTGGGAAGCAGAGGACCCAGACACGTCACAAGGGTTGTCGTTTGGATGCAGGGGGTTCAGACAGGGTTCAGAGCGTTCAGGAACTATGCAAGGGCTGCTGTTTGTGATGCAGGGGGGTTCTAGACAGGGTGCAGGGAGTCTTGTTGGGATGCAGGTGGTTCAGAGAGTGTTCAGGGGGTCCAAGCAAGGTGCAGGCGGTCTGATCGGCGTTCAGGGGTTCCAGGCAAGTTACAGGGTGTTCTGTTTGAGTTGCAGTGGGTATGGTTGGGACGTAGAGGGCACAGACAGGGTTCAGGGGTCTCGCTGGGGTGCAGGGGCTTCCGACAGTGTTCAGGGTGTTCTGTTTGTTGTGCAGGGAGTGGTTTGGGAAGCAGGGGACTCATACTCGTTGCAGGGGGTTCTGGTTGGGGTGCAGTGGGTTCAGACAGTGCTCAGGCGATCCAGGCAAGTCGCAGGGACTTGTGTTTGTTGTGCAGGGGGTGTGGTTGGGATGCAGAGGGTTGGTTTGTGATGCAGGGGGCCAGACAGGGTGCAGGTATCTTGTTGTGTGGGGGGTTCAGAGAGTGGTCAGGAGGTACCGGTTGGGGTTCAGGGTGTCTGTTTGGGGTGCAAGGCATTCAGGCAAGGTGCAGGGATTCTGGTTGTGGTTCAGAGGGACCAGACAGGGTGCAGGGGTCCTGTTGGTTTGTAGGGGGTTCAGACAGGGCTCCAGGGACCTCTTTGGGAAGCAGGGGACCCGGACACGTTGCGTGGTTCTGGTTGGGGTGCAGGATGTTCAGTCAAGGTTCAGGGGGTCCAGGCGATTCTGTTTAGGGTGCAGGGGTCTGTTTGCGATGTACAGGGCCCAGGCAGTGTGCAGGGTGTGTCATTGCAGTGGTGGGGGTTCAGACAACGTGCAGGGGTCCTGGTTGCTGTGCAGGGGGCATTGTTGGGGTTCAGGGGTCTTGTTCATATGCAGAGGGGTATTCTTGGGGTATAGGAGTTCCAGTTGGGCTTCATGGGGTACAGACAGTGTGAAGGGGGGCCAGGCAAGTTGCAGCGGGTGTGGTTGGTGGTGCAGAGGGTCGAGACAACGTGCAGGTGTTCTGAGCAGGTTTCAATGGGTCTGGTTGTGGTGCAGGGGGTCTGTTTGGGTTTCCTGGGGCACAGAGAGTTTACAGGAGGTCCAGGCGAGGCGCAGGGGTTCTTTTTAGGGTGCAGGGGTTTCAGACAGGTTGCAGGGATATGGTTGGAGTTCAGGGCATCTGGTTGGAGTGCAGGGGTCCGAGCAATGTGCAGGGAGTCTGGCTGGGTTCAGGGGTCCCACAGAGGCTTCATGGGGTCTTGTTGGGGTGAAGGAGGTCCCATTGGGGTTAATGGGGCCCAGACAGCGTGCAGATGGTCTAGACAGGTTGCAGGGGGTCTTGCTGGTGTGCACGAGGTCTCCTTGGTCTGCAGGGGAGCCAGGCAAGGTGCAGGGGGTCTTGTTGGTATTCAGTGGGTCTGGTTGGGATTCGTGCTGCAAAGACTGGGTACAGGGTGTCCGAGCAAGGTGCAAGGAGCCTGGTTTGGGTGTAGGGGCCCCAGAGAGTGTGCAGAGGGTCCACTAGGTTATAGCTGATCTTGTTGAAATGCCGAGGGCCCAGGCAATGTGCAGGGGGTCTTGTTGGTGTCACAGGTGTCCAGGAATGTGCAAGTCATCTGGCTGGGCTGCAGGACATCTGATTGTTTTGCAGGAGGTCCAGACAAGGTGCGTGGGGGCCAGGAGAGTTGCTGGTGATCCGGTTGGGGTGCAGGGGATCTCATTGTTGTACAGAGGGCTGAGACAGGGTTCAGTGGGTCCAGGCATCGTGCAGGGGAGCTGGCTGGGTTCAGATGACACTGACAGGGTGCAGGGCATCTGGTTGCTGTCAGGGGTACGATTGGCGTGTGAGGCACTCAGAGTTAGCACACCAGGGCCAAGCGGACTACAGAGGTCTTGGTGTATAGAGGGTAAGTTTGGTGTGCCGGGCATCTTGTTGGGCTGCAGGGGGGCTGGTTGAGGTGCACAGGGTCCAGGCGAGGCGTAGGGGCTCTCGGTGAGGTTCAGGGGGTGTAGTTGGCCATCTAGGGGCCCAGAGATAGTCCAGGGGGGCCAAGTAGTGAGCACGGAGTCTGGTGGGGTGCGGGGTCACCAGGCAAAGTCTAGGAGGTGGTTGTGGTATGGAGGAACTCATTGGTGTGCGTCGCAGGCCAGCAAGGTGCACAGGGTCTGGTTGGTGTGCAGGGGGCTCAGACATCTATGCTGTGAACAGCACATCTTTAACTTCTTTCCCCATTCCTTCTCTTATGTTAAAACGGTAGGGTCGCTCGGAATCATACATCATCCTTTTGCCATTCCGGATGATTTAGCCACAACAAGACAAATCAACCTAAGGCACTTCCTCCTGTTGCCTTTCAGAGGCATGGCGACCTGGTTCAGGAACAGCACGGCGACCAACCCCAGCCGCTCGGGCCATCAGCTCACAGACACCAATGTGGTGGATGGCAAATGGTGTTTTATTGAGGAATATACAGGCCTTATATAGCTTGGGTTTACAACGTCACTTCTGTCTGCTTACATCACTGCTACATTACTATTGGCTATCGGGGTATCAGAAAAAGGGGCCCTATCTTTCCGTACAGCGCGATATCTTCCGACCGCCAGGCCCTCACTACCTACATCCTCCCGTTTCCCTTCCCTCCAACAAAACAACATCGACAGTATATAGTGTTAAGCTGTAAGGTCCGTTCTTTGGCCACTTCTCTCGATCTTCTAAAATGTACAGTGGCCACCAACGATTACAATAGTCAATTTTGTTTCCCAGATAAGGGGTTTGCTTCCCACGTCCCTCCAATATTTTAATATATATTCCAGAGGTGACTTTTTGAAAAGACCGCTCTCAGACCCCTTAGACCAGTCGGAACCCACATTAAACAAAATAAACAATTACGTACACAAAACTATGACACCGCCTAACAGACTAAACAAGGCTGTTATACGAGATAATAATTAGACATGGACATTGGCCAATGCCCCGCGATACCCTAGCCTGCACCTTACGTGCGATCGAGGCTTTCTTTGACCCCAGGCGACTCTGGGCACGTCACCGTAATAACGTGTAATCTCGCCTTTCTTCCCGGGTTTTTCCTTATAGCAGAGTCCCGTGGGAATTTCTTGCGTCCAGTCTTACGGACAGGCTTTTCCAGTCTGTGTTACCTTTGGTAATGCCTTAAAAAAACCCAACAAACAAACCAATGAACCAAAAAAACCAAAAAAAAACCCACCAGGCTCTTACTCCAAACTCACCAGATCAGGGGTTCGGAGGATCTCCCCGAAAAACTTAGGCAACGCCAGAGTCTTCACAATCCCATGGGTTCATCAAGTTTCCGAGGCAGCATCCCATCCGGGTTGCCGAAATTCTCTACTGAAATCTGCAACGAACCCTCCTTAACGCCAGGTTTAGCGTTAACGCATCGGATTACTTTCCGGCCGGTACATGAGGGAATCATTCCGCCTAACTCGCCTGTCATAAATTACCATAGCCAAAGCTCATATCATCCCGTTATGCCTATTCATTAACTCATTATCGTCGTTATATAACTATTACCTGTGCGATTTAGGTCCCTGA